TGCTCTGGCTCAGGGCCGTAAGTGGGAGATAAGCATCACAATCTGTCGCTCATTTGATCACTTTCACCCTTTGATTATTCATACTACTGTGGCATGCAGTGAGTATGTGATGATGGATATGATTGATATGTGATAGCTGGTCTTCTTCTGGCACACTGGTACATTGCTTTTTTTAATTTTTAAGTTCGCTTTTCCAAAATACTCCCCAAGCCGCTCACACCCACCTCTTTAGTTCATCATTTTGATCGAGGTCTCACCATCATAATTGTCCTGTGTTTTCCAGTTGTGTCCTGCTGACATACAGCTCGAACAGTTTGGCAAACTTGAGGTGCAATGGATTTAGTTTGATCGTATTTATCTTGCCTTGCAGATGTCTTTGTGAAGTTATTCTCTCTCACGCAGAGGATGTCCACCCGTGGAGATGGAGCAATACATTCAATAAATTTGGCTCGTGTGCCATGTGCTAAGTAGATCGGTGCATCGTAGTACCATGAGAGGGGGCAACAACATGAGGCCTTCATCCAGCAGTGGATAGACCGTCGCTAATGATAGTGATTAATATAACAACAAAATTCAAGAATTACTCAACGGTAGCAGCTATACAAAAATAAAAAGAGATCACACCAACAGCCTCGTCATACAAACCAATAAAATCATTTCTGATTCAATCGCATTAATTGATCAAACCAAACAGTTCTCGTTGAAGCCTCCTGCTGCCAGGCCACCAAGATTATACGGCTTACCAAAAATACATGAAGTAAATACACCCCTTCGTCCCATCGTCTCTCCTATCAACTCCCCCACCTACAAACTGGCTCGTTTTCTGTCTGAAATCCTGTGGCCTTTCACTGGAAAAACCACCTCTGCGGTACAAAATTCTATTCACCTGGTATCGACAATCACGGGTATTTCCCTGTCCCCAGACGACCCATCTCCCGCACCGTCTACACAACAAAAACATGCTAATCCCCCAGTTACATGCTAATTTTCTGACTTTAACACCCTGCTGTTTCAACACTTTAACACAGCTATTTTTGATATGTAAACTCCTTTGTCAAGGCGCCCTGCTCCTCCCACCGAGCTTAAAAGAAGCTGCGAATCTTAGCAGCAGTCATTGAAGTGCTGTCGTCCCGACAGTTCTGTTCCTTCACCTGAAGAATGCCACTTGTGTTGTGGCCGAAACGTCGTGTTTTAATTGTTTTATTTTATTTTAATTTGTTTTTTACCTACGTGACTTTACCGAATAAAACCAAAGAGTATGTAGTTTCCTTATTCACCAAAGTGCCTGTACCTGACACCATCGCAATCATTGAAGACTTGGTTCATCAAGGACTAAACACTGAGGTACCCTGCCTGGTGAGACACTGCTTAACCAATACATACTTCACTTGGAACGGAACTTTCTACAAACAAACTGAGGGCACCCCAATGGGCTCCCCCCTATCTCCGGTTGTAGCCAACATTTTCATGGAGAAATTTGAGACTGACGCCATCCAGACTGCCACTCTGGGCCCAACGTTATGGAAGAGGTACGTGGATGACACTTTTGTCATCTGGCCACATGGCCGGCCTGCTCTAGACCAATTCCTCGACCACATCAATTCCATACACCCAGCCATCAGATTTACCATGGAAGTCGAAAAAGATGGCAAGCTACCTTTATTGGATGTCCTAATAAAAAAGTGACCTGATGGTTCAATGAGCCACTCTGTCTACAGGAACGCTACCCATACGGATGCTTACCTGAAACCGGATTCCCACCACCATCCATCCCAAAAGAATTCCCTCATCAAGACTTTGCACCATAGAGCCCAATGCATATCCGACCAGGAACACATAGCCAGTGAACTCAAGCATGTACACCAAGCTCTTAAGGCTAATGGTTACTCCGACTACACAATCCGCAAAGCTATCACTCCAACCATGAAGAAGGACCCTCTTGAGGAGCCTTTCAAAACCATCACTTTACCCTACATTGCGGGGATCACAAAAAAGATCTCCAAAATCTTGAATAAACACAAGATCCAGGTCCGATTCAACCCATTACATAAAATCCGTGATCTGGTTCCGTCTGTAAAAGATGTGATTCCGGACATACAGTACCCTGGCGTCTACAAACTAAGTTGCCTCTGTGGTAGTAGTTACTTTGGGGAAACCAAACGACATGTCTCGGACCGCATTCGTGAACACAAAGCGGACCTAAAACACGGTAGGACCAACACCTCGGTCGTGGCAGATCACTGTTATAATTCAGTAGGCTCACATGACATTGACTTCTCCAAGACAGAGGTTCTTTGCAAGCCATCTGGCTACCATGAAAGATTCGTTCATGAGGCTATCCACATATACAAACAGAGACAATTTCAACCGAGAAGATGGATTCTGGCTTAGCAATCATTGGAAGGATTTTATAAACCATTTCGGATCTTAATTGATTGTTCACGCTTACGGTGGCTTTCAGACCACATCCATTATTTTCGTCTCCCCCTTCCTCTTTTCCGAACATAGATGGACTCGTCCATCTGAATAACTGCCAGATCGCTCTCCTGGTGCTAACGTAAAAAAAACCGCCACTTTTTTCAAAATTTCTTGCTGTGGTTTTCACACCTGATGATGATTGCTTGTGTTGCAGTCGAAACGTCGTTAGAATTGTATTGTTTTATATTTTTATTATTTTATTGTTTCCCTTCTACGTGACTTTACCGAAAGAACCAAGAATATAGTGATTCGATTGTACAGTGGATGACAAGTGAGAGTACTGCAGTTATAGATTTCCTATATTTCCCATCACTCGTCTATCAGAAGAACTTAGGGGAAATGAAAAACGGCAACTTACATATCATGGCAACGGGACGGTCAAGTAATTTTCCAAGTTTCGAGGCAATATATGTTCAAATACATGACTGGTATCAGCATGGAAACATTTTTAGGTTCCTAAACTGTTTTGTGGTCATTGGTGAATTTCTTTGGAGACCAGTGTAAAAATTTTTCCCACATAAGTTTCCATTTTTTTGTAAAACAAATAAAATGAACACATTATGAATTTTGAGGGATACTGACGCCTTTATATTGCTTTCTTTCTTCGTGACGGGTCCCGAATGTAAAATTTTATGATAAATTACTTTCTATAGCACCTACCAAAAAGTCCGTTTGAATCGGCAGACTGCTTATGATACCATTTTCACTGATTAACAAAGCGAAATTTGTTGTCAAAGAAACGATTTTCAATTTGTATTAAGCGGCATAATTATCTCTGAAATATCGGTGCGTGGTAAGGTGGGCGAGTTTGCTACTGTCTGAACTTTCAACGCTGGTCACTGTATGATGCATTTTCACCAAATTTTAGCCATCAAAATACCAGAGCTAAATTTAACGAATTTCTGAGTACGGAACCACAAGCCCACAGTTTCTGCAGGTGGGTGGCTCTTAAACTGGCGATGCTAAGATTTAAATGTTTTGTTGATGACTGTACAATTTGTGCATTTCACTAATTCACACATTTTAAAAAATGCATTATTACACCCAAACATATGTTCGCTACATTCATCGTGAAGACTGCTTTAACATAAATGAATAAATACATTTCACAAATTCTCAATCTAGCCATGAATGAAGTCCTCCCCACGCTGTGTCGGTAGCGGGGGTTCTCTGACCATACTTCACCATGCTGGTAAGTGCTGCATGGTGAAGGGAGTCATAACAAATTAAATGATTATAATTAAGTGGATGTGGTGGGGGGAGGGGGGGGCAGGACCAGTTGAGATATCACTCGCTGCTGATGTGACCCACAGCCGGGAATCAAACTCAGATTATTGGGACCATAGTGCAGTGCGCTAACCACTGTGCCACTGATCCAAAATACCGCCGTCGTGACTTTAAACTCAAAGGACATCACGTTGGAAAAAATACGTATTGTGGGCTGACGTTTCAGGCAGTAGCTCGTCTTCAGGCACTGTTTTAACAAACGTGTCTTTTTTGTAATTTCACGTGCTCGACCACTGCTGATGCAGTACCTTAATCGGTCTGTTCAAAAGAACGGTGTTCTATACAGCGTCACCGTTAGCCTTGATCAAACTCTCACTTCAACTCTCTATATATAAATATATCACGGTTAAAAGTTTTCTAAAGGAAGAACCTAAAATTGTACATTTTATTCCTGGCTGCGGGAAAAAAAAAAAAGTGAATGCAGGAAACAACTCCCATCCTTCGTTCCCCCCAAATCTGCCTCTGATTCGAGTGACGTCAATAACGGCACAACTTTGCGCACGAGTCGGAACTATCTGTTCATACGTTGTATGTGTACGTATGTTGAACTTCTTTTGCACCGTACGGAGCCAACCGTGCTAATTGGATATGTGGGGGAAGGACAACAAACTAAATATAAAAAAGCAGTTCTGTAAGAAATTCGGTTTCAACCTAGATGATTTCAAAGTGGACGGTTCCAGTGGCTTCCTAGTATCGTAAGAGCGTTCCAGACGGCCACAGAAGTGCATCTGAAAGCGCGCGATGCGGTGACCGCCGCCTTTGTTCGACGGCGAGGCAAAAGCCGCTGCTGCGAGGATGACCGGAGTTCGTGTGATATTCATTCGGCCACGTCCGAACGAGGACTTGAAAATATTCCCGTGGCAGGAATTGACCGGCATTAAGGTGGAAAAAATATAAACGAACGCGTTGCTTGTGTCACAGCGTGTTCAACAAGCTTCGTCGCTACACCGCTTCACGCATGGGTCTCATCAACTGATGGCAAGGAGTGCGCAAAACCTCCGAGTTGTTGATCCCCGGCTCTCGTTTTCGTCCCACATATCTCGGGACTCCGCAGGTCCTCCTACATTAAAACCTGCATTTCAATGCCGTCGTAAGCCCCGAACTTGTACTACGCTGTAACGTCGATCGGGTGCGAAGGGTGCGCTGCAAAACTCGATCGATGATGATCAATGAAAGCGCGATTAGCATTTCAAGAGGCGCGCGGTGGGAAACACGGAGATGAGCGGAAGACTCACCGACAGTAGAACGCCTCCTGCAGCGCCGGTTTGTGTGACGGCGGAACAGGCATCAACTTCTCGGGCTGAGTCGGGTTTCTTTTGACGGAGACACCTGTGAGTGACGGAGACACGGGGGGCGGGGGTGGTCTCAGTACAAAATCATCGCGTGCTACAGGGGCAGGCGCCGACGACAGCGTGGTGTGCGCAGCCCTTTGTCGAACCACAGCAAGTGTTGGCACGCGGTTGGAACCGTCGGACCGACGTTGGCCCGAACGTTCCACGTTTACTGGCAAGGCCTCCCGCATGCCACGTTGATCATGAGATTTACTGAGTCACCCCCTAGCATTCGTAAAGCAGTTTTGCAAAAAAGGTAAAAGGTGCAGCCCTGCAATTTCTTGCTCACGCCACTGCCGGCTGAAAGGGTATTCACTAACAAGTAGCTCTATAGAGAGCCCCTCTGGAGGGTACATTGGCCGCGCCGGGAGATTGAATCAAGCTGGTGACCTCTGGATTTCAAGTCCAGTGTGCTAACCATTATACCACGGCCGCTTCCTTAAAAGCAATCAAGCAGTATCAGACTTAAAAGGGCCCAACGAGAGTGGTCGCGTAACTTTTTTCCAACCGAAACCTGAATAGGCTTAAATGCAGATGCATCGAAGAGCCGTAGATCGGGAGCGGTTGTGCAGAACAGGAAGGGAAAGCGCGAGCGCTCCTCGCGAGACTCACGTTGCGCCGTCTTCATCCCTGGCTTCTTCCTCCTCGGCTGCGGCACGGGCCGCTGCACTGGCGCCGAGCTGGCGCCGTCATCCGCCTTCAACGGCGACGGCTCGCGCTGCGACCCCGCGGTGCGAGGCGAGGTCGCGGCGCGGGCGACCGTCTCCGTTTGCGTGGCTGCGTCCGTGGTGACCGCCGGCTGCGCTTCCTTTTCCACGGCGATGTCCATCCTGTCGTAGAAGCAGATGCCCTCCGTCACCTTGCTCCTCCAGCCCCGCCAACTCTCGTGCGAACGGCACTCGGACCGTGAGCCGTTGAGGCAAGCCGAGGATTGGCGCAGCGCCGGGCCGTTGTGCCCCGCCGGCACGGGGCCCTGCGGTCCGCCCTTCGCCTGGAGGTTCCCGTCACGAGTGCGCCTCCCGTCGCCCTGCGTGGCCCTGCGGCCGAAATCGACGGGAGCGGCGGGGCATCTGTCGGCGGGGCCGGCCTCCCACCCGACCTTCCCGGAAGGCCGGAGTTCGGGGCTTCTGGCACGCGGCTGGGGGCTCGGGACTTTGACAGGCGGCAACAAAGTGGCGGGCGATCCGACCTCCGGCGAGTGCTGACCATTGGGCCTGTGTGAGTGAAACAGTTGGCGAGGTGTCGGAAGCGGTGGCCTCTGAGAGATGTTCATGTAATTGCGGCTCAACTTTGCACCAGCCAGCGCGGCGCCCTTGTTGGAATTTGCTGGTGGACACAAGTAGCCCTTGCCGCACGAGTCCAGCTTGCTGGTCCCAACGCGAGAGTTGGCATTCTGCTCCGCTACGGTAATCCAGAAATTTCTGGCAGCTCGACTTACAGAGGGTCCCACACCTTGCCTCTCCCTACCCAAATCGCAACATCGGTCCAACTCATCGCAGCTTGAGGAACTGGTCAAAGACGGACGGCCGAATCCTCCGTCGCTCAGATTCCCGTACACCAGGTTGTCGAGCGACGACTGCTTTTTGCCGGCCAGATTGCTCCTCGTTAAGTACGGGGGTTCGCTCTGAGCGACGCCGCCCACCGCCGCGCGGTACGCGTGCTTGCCATCCCACAGGTTCGCCCCCAGCTCCACCACCTCCGTGTATTCCGGCTCGACGGTGTTGAGGGGCCCGTCGGCGCTCCCCGAGTGACGGGCCTTCGGGGAGCGCCGCCTCTGCTCGTCTCCAATCCCGGGCGCGTCGTCGTCGAGTTGCCGGAACACCATGGCCGCCTTGCAGAAGCGCGCGCGGTTGAGGATGCGCTTGCGGTGGCCCGAGAGGCCCACGCCCAGAGCCTGCAGCGCCGCATTGTCCAAGCTGACCAGGTCGGTGGGGCAGCGGTAACCGTGGGCGATGAGCGGAGCCGCGTACTGGCTCAGGCTGATGGCCTCCAGCCAGGCCACCAAGGGGGCCTCAGCATCCGTCATCGCGTGCCTCCCTGTCACCTGGCCCTCGGCGGCGGGCGGTGTGATGCAACGTCACATCACAGGTGCATCCTCACGAGCGCTTCCTGTTGGGGAATATATTTTTTTAAATCGCGATGTCCTCCCCCCCCCCCACCACCAAAACAGCAAAGGTCTGTCTACATTTAATAATACTGTTTCAGCTGTAAAAGCTTCCACATTCAGCCCCGTGGAGTGTACACGAACAAGCCGTTAACTTGGATATGCCCCTCACATCGATGCCCTCTATTTGTATATTTCGTCGTCAGTTAGCTCGTGTGTTTTTGTTGTTGTTGGTATTTAAGCGATGACCCCCTCGCACAGGCGGAAAGGTTTAGCGGTAACAATGCAGAGCGTTTGCACATTGCCCAGCGCGCGCTGTGGTTTGTGCCAAAGCCACGAAGCTAATGCGGCGTGCTCTTCACAACAGCGACACGAGTTGCAGTCGTGCAAATGTGAGTCATCAGGGGCCACCGATGGATATTCCTCTGGCAGACATTCCAAGTCACGCTTCTTGGAAAAGGACGTGCATTTCACCGCGTGTGACTCACAGCTTCGCGCTTTCTGTAAAAAACGACGAGTCCATAAAGCCACGCATTCATTCCTTCCTTCGCCCTGTTGCATTTTCGACAAACGTGAGCGTAAACTTAGACCGCTTATTGGATTTATCATCGTTGCTTATTCTGGCTGCTTGCTATGTTTGAATTAGAATTGAAGTGGTGAACATGCAAACAAATGCAGATTTGATTCCTTGCAAAAGGATTATCTTTGGCGTTTGAACATCTTAACGCCTGTTTTGTTGCCAGAAAGGCTAAAACCTATTCTTATTTTTTCATACTTTGATACTGGAAAAAAACTTCCATGTTATTAATAATATGCAGACATTTGCCAATGTGCTATTGGATGAAAGCCTCGCTGTGTCGATAACGGGAGTTATACTTCACTACACTGGTCAGGATGGGTTGGTGGTGACCCACGACCAGTTCAGCTATAACTTCGCCACTGGTGTGGGCTGAGGCCAGCAAGCAAACTCAGGTGGCTGGGTACACGGTGCGGTTCGCTGACCTCTGCATCAATAGGCTTGGCACGTGGTAAAATTAGCGTTGCCAGGGCAAACTGCGGAACGGCAAAATCAATGCCAGGGGAGGTGACCCACTCCCATAGCTTCCTGGAGCAAAGCCAAAGCAGGTTCGAGCTGCCGGGAACTTACGCTGGGCACAGAGGGAGTGACGGCAGCTAGGGAGGAGAAACATCCACCCCCACAGATTTCGTAGGTCATGGCCAATTTTTTTTAGTTTGTTTTCCCGAACCCGTGCTGGTAACAGAAGCACCCAGCCAACACAGCGCATTTGTGAGGTCGTTTTTTTCTTAATCTCTTTTCGGCGTGAACCGCGGTGTTAAGCACGAAGGCGGCCGCAATCGAACCCCGCTGGCAAGATGAGAGTCGCGCCCAGAAGGGCATCACGCACGCATCATTCAAGGATGCCGGGTCTCGTGAGTGGCGGAATGGGTCTCAGGCAGCACGTGACGCAAGATTTACCGGTCTGCGCGACTGCTAACGGGTAAATATCACTTGTGCATTGCTGTGCCAGCAGCAACGGAGTCAACGACAACAACAAGAATGTTTGCGGGACAGTTTGCATGAGAGGACTGGTTGCGTGTGATTTGTGTGCGCTATAGACGTGCGCACCTACACGACCGTGTAGCGGTTAACGCGCTGCGCTACGAACCCGGACCACCCGAGTTCGATTCCAGCTCATGGCCAACACCAGTGAGGATCATCTGAACCGGCCCTGAGCATCCCCTAGGTCGACTCAGCTTCAAATGAGTACCTGGTGTGGTGTATAAACTTCGCCACTGGGGAGACAAAGGCGGTCGGGCGCGGTGCTGGCCACCCACCCCCTCGTGTGCCGTGCCAGCCTTTATAGGTGCTCGCTAACAGCACTTACCAATACAGTCAGTTAAAGGCTATATGGGTGATGCATGCATCGTAAGGAGCACAGGTGGTGCATCTGCCAGTCATCTCAGTCAACCCATGGCACCTGGGGCTGTCCCCGCGACCTCCTGCCAGCGAGCCTCCGACACTTCACGTTGCCTCGGAGTGCACCTGGCCTGGCACAAGCGCCGTGGTGACATCACCACCGCTTAGTGGCGAACGGCGGCCGTTGGTGTTATGTGTGCTTCTGTGTGTTAGCATGAGAATGGTAGCGGTGGACAGCTAGGTAGAATGTGGTACCGTGGCCGGCATGGGCCCTGGTGCAAGAATCCCTGTCCAATTTCCCCTCTCTCTTCGTAGCCCGGTGTCCGGTGCCCCTCCAGCGCAGTTGCACCGCCTACGCTCTTCAAAGCTCTGCCCAATGGGTAGTGAGCACCAAGGGCGTAATTATAATATCCCCCCCAATATTCAAATATGCTCAAAATGTCCCCCACCAATATATTGCTATCAAAAATTGCTATGCTATGTAAATAAAACAACAATTTGCTAAACATTGGCCACAATATCTGGACTTGTATTCATATAAATCAATGCATAGATTTCTGTTTATATGATTGTGGTTATGGTTGTACTTTATTAATCCCTAATCTATGCCATTACATACAATGAAACAATAAATGGTCAAAAAGTTAAAACAGAGCAATGTAATGCAATATACACTATTCGACATTATTGTAAAAAATAAACAAAAAGTCCATCCCACGTGTTAGTGAATTTTTTTAAATATTTTAGGCAGGAAATGAGTTTTCAAATTTAGATATTTTTCTGGGTTGGGACCCCCAGACACCCTGGAAGATTTGGTCCCCCCCCCCAATGTTGACTCCATGGCTACGGCCTTGGTAAGCATCATCATCAATGAGCGTGCCGGTGAGGCGCTCGCTATCACGTGTGCTACACGCGCAGTGGTGCCAGGCATTGGCATGCTCGCGCGGGAGAAGGGCACGTGCACTAAGCGTCAATACAGTGAAAAGTCCATTCATCCGTGACACCTCATTCATACACGCGTATGAGCAGCGTACTTACACGATAAACTGAAGGGTAGGTAGATACATGAGTATTACAAAAGCTCCGGTGCAGAATATGTACGAGGATTGTGATGATAGCTTGATATGCAAAGTATGCTGGGATTCCTGCTAAATGTTGTGACTGATGATAGTTTGAAGATTACCCACACACAGAAGGTCACATTCCGTAGATAGACTTGGCATTTCATATCGTGCATATCCATACACACGCACACAGCGTTATTTCTATGCATTTACAAAAGCTTGTCAACCCATTGCTGGCTGAAGGCTCCTACCGTGCTGTGTTGATTAGGGGGTGGAGGGGGGGGGTTGTTGTCACCGATCAGTGAGGGTCGGTGACAGGGGGTGACCTAGGACTGGTTCCAATTTGAACAACCACTGTTGACTTTTGATTTAAAGCTTTCGTGACTGCAGGGATTCATATTCTTGGTTCTTTAGGTAAAGTCACAACGTAGAAGGGAAACAATAAAATATTAAAATTTAAAACAATAAAAGTCTCACGACGTTTCGACTGCAACACAAGCAATCATCATCAGGTGTGAAAACCACAACAAGAAAATGTTTCACACCTGATGATCATTGCTTGTGTTGCAGTCGAAACGTCGTGAGAATTTTATTGTTTTATATTTTTAGTATTTTATTATTTCCCTTCTACGTGGTGACTTTACCGAAAGAACCAAGAATATGAACCACTGTTGACGTTTAATAGTGGCCGTGATTCCGAGAGTCGAACTTGGTTCGCTTGGGTTCACAGCGAAGTGCGCTAACCGCTGCACCACCACGCGCAGCACGTTACCGTAAACAGTGCCGCGTTCCTACACTATGGTTTTATAATACAACCTTGCATTGGGCGATGCCTTCATCTATGTACACCTTTGATAGTGCTGTTTGTGTCTGGTCTCTTTTTGAGTTTTGGGCGTGCGCTCTTGCACCTGTGATATAAACAACACTATTAAACTGCGATGCACACTGTGGCATTTGGACACGTGTACACGCGAAGCACACTCCAGTATTACAGACACAACGTTACATTAAATATAACGGTGCATAGTTGCATTAGATCCTAATACACAGCACCCACACCCCATACTTAAGTACGCACATGACACAGTGAACTCGTATATATTATCGCACACAGCACTACATTCAGGCATCGTGGTGTATTACGCATATTACACAGTACCACGAGAACACAGCATCACATTCATACACAGCGTTACATAAATAGCCCTCACAACATTTCACAAAATGCATCATTCACACAGCAGCACACACACAAACAAAGATCCCCCGTATAGCCTTAGAAGATTGTTGGGGCAAGTGCCGTTAGCGAGCACCTATGAAGCCCGGCACGGCACACGAGGGAGTGGGTAGCCAACACCGCGCCCGACCGCCTTTGTCTCCCCAGTGGCGGTGTTTCTACACACCGCACCAAGTACACATTTGAGGCCGAGTCGACTTAGGGTAGGCCCAGGACCGGTTCAGATAATCGTCACTGGGTGTTGGCCGCGAGAGGGAATCGAACTCAAGTCGCCGGGTTCGTAGCGCAGCACGCTAACCGCAGCGCCACCGCTCCAACACTCATAGACACAGCATCACTCACACAGAACACTAACACACACAGCATCACTTACACATAGCATTACACGCAGCATTACTCACACAGAGCACTCACACAGAACACTCACACACACAGCATTACTCACACAGAGCACTCACACAGAACACTCACACACACAGCATCACTCACACACAGCATTACTCACACAGAGCACTCACACAGAACACTCACACAGCATCACCCACACACACAGCATCACTCACACACACAGCATCACCCACACAGAACACTCACACACACAGCATCACTCACACACAAAACATTACTCACACAGAGCACTCACACAGAACACTCACACACACAGCATCACTCACACACGCAGCATCACTCACACACACAGCATCACTCACACACACAGCATCACTCACACACACAGCATCACTCACACACACAGCATTACTCACACACACAGCATCACTCACACAG